CCCATTTGCAGATCTCTGTACCCATTGTGTTTTTGTATTCATGGTCTCTACCAGCCACTCAATCTGCTTGTGCTATGCTCATTCCTTGAATAACTTTATGGATTGTCTGTTGTAATCTGCCACACCAGCTTGACGTATAAGCTGCAGAGATTCTAGAGCTGCAAAATATTGCTCCTAAGTTTTCTGCTCGGTTGAGATATATGTTATTAAAGCCATGCATATATAAATGCATTTGGGTTATATTCAATTCAATCCATGTTGTATGTCTCTTCTATATTTCTCTTTCTTCTTTAAGTGGGAACTAGTATTGATTTATCCGTTACTAATGCATTTAGATTCATGGTTACAGTATTTGTTCATTTTTATTGCATTCCATTATTTCTCAGCCAGGAAGCTGGTATTTGTCCTGTAATCTCACAGTTGTAAAGGGACTGTCTGATAATCCTTGAACTTTTCTCTTTGGCAGGAACACTATGTGATCAAGATGTTTTGGGAAGTTCTCAAGAACTTTTCTTTGGAGAATCAGATAAAATTCTTGAAGTGAGTTAATAATATATGCCATAAGATTCTTTAGCTATATTTCCATCTCTTGTATTGATTGATAGTAATGTTATGCTCAGCAAGATAAATTGCAATTTTTTTTTTGGAATGGTAAAGTATTGTATCAATATAAAACTGCCAACATATACACCAACCCATGTACATTGAGAGACTGTACATAGGTCTATACAAATTGCAATTTTGGATGACATCCAAAGCTCCCACATGGATCCTTAGTGTTTAATGTCTTCAAGGGAAAAGATCAAAGCATCTTGTTCACCATTCATTACAATTTTTCTGGATAACTTGACATGCATAAATGAGTGCATATGCATGTAAGCAAATAAGGGATTAATATATATATATATATATCTTCCACCTGATGTACCTGATGTACCTGATGAACCAGAATCTAGGAGTTGGTAGCTAGCATGAAATTTTCAAAGCAGTAAAAGGTTTTACCTTAGACATCAGCAAAGAACAATTACTACCTTAAGAAACGTTCAGAAGTATAGGGTTCTCATAAAAAAATAAAAAAATAAAAAAACAAACCGAACTGAAAATGTGGTTAACCAAATCGATTGGTTTGGTTTCATTTCAGTATTTCTGAAAAATTGAAGGACTGGTTCAGTTTTCGGTTAACTTAGAAAAAATGGAGGTTAACCGAACCGACCAGTATATATTTATATGTATATTATATATTTTTTTAATGTCACATATTATATATAGATATATGCATTATATATATAAACATATGCATATATTATATATTTATAATATATATTATAAATATAAAAAACTGAAGAACTGAACTGGTCAAAACCCAAAACTGGTTAACCAGTGGTACTGGTTTGTTTCGGTTCGGATAATTGCAAAAAGTGGTAGGACTGGTTCAGTTTCAAAAAAACAGCCCACGGTTCAATTAACTGAACCATGAGCACCCCTACAGAAGTATATAAGCAGATTAATTTTTGGACAGGGAAGGATTTCTGAGTGCTTACTATTATCAACACAACATGTCTTAATACTCCATCATGATTTGGTATTCTATTGAAACATAATCAGTTCAGAAGTTATGCCTTCAGTTATCTCCTCAGCGTCTCAACTAAATCCATTTCCCTACTCCACTCAAAAGTATCAATGTATTACAAAGGATAAGTTGAGCAGCCTAAAAATTAGTTATAACATCAATGTTCATTCATATCCACGCCAGTATTCATGTATTACTTATTATAGCGCTTCTTCAAAAGGTTTGGAATGTATCACTCATATAACAATGTCCATTATCCAATATCAAATCAAGATGTTGCATTTGGTTTCCGGAATTAAATATTTTCTTACAACTCGCGATTACATGTTGGTTTATGGAATTAAATATTTTCTTACAACTCGCAATTACTGTGTTCATTCATGTCTTGCTCCTTGGATGCTTTCTAGTAGAATTTAAAATGGCTATCAACTATGGTACAAACATGCAGAAATAAAAACTGACCCCATGTTCTATCTAGGTTTGTCACTGGATGCTCTCGAGGACCACTGCTTGGTTTCAAATACCTAGAGCCCCAATTCTGCATACAAAGGTAGTATTTTATAACTGTTGTATATTGTTCCCTTTCTCTAACTGGATTGTTCATTCGAGCTGTTTAATTCAGGACTGCTGGTGATGCTTCTGAAGAAACTCTTGATCGACTACCAACTTCAGCAACTTGCATGAATCTTTTGAAGCTTCCACCCTATAGAAGGTGTGTTACTCTAATTAAATTCTGCATTCAAGTATCTAAATGATGCAGTTCATTTACTATGATTTCGGATACTTCCCAGCAAGATCCATAGGAAATCTGTATGGAAAACCAATCAAGGAGGTATATTTGTAGATAAATAGAAATGAAGGATATTCAATTTAAGTGTATTTTTTGTGAAAAATGCTAAATGAAACCTTAATACCAAAGTCATACAATCTTACCTCAGTATCTTGCTTTTTAGTGTAGCCAAGGTTCAAAATATCGATATGCCCGATATGCCAGTAGAGGCGTATCGGTAGTTTTTTTTTTTCAAATCCGGTTCAGAGGGGCCGGTTTAAGGTCCGTCCACCCCCTGAACCAGTCAAAACCCCGATACACACTCTGTAGGGGTGTATTGGGAAGCTCCCAGCACGATACATATCAGCCGATACGGGCTGATACGTACCGATACTTTGAACCTTGGATGTAGCAATGTCAAGGCAAGCATTGGATTGTTTACATGTTAGGAGCAGTCCATACAACAAGAAATATAATGACCATATCCACACTCCCCCTCAAGTTGGAACAAATGTATCTCTCATGCTCAACTTGTTTACAATCTGCAATAGACACACTCCTAAGACACCTTCAGTGAAGATGTCAGCTAGTTGTGTAAGTGTTGTTATGCATGGATTACAAATCTGTCTATCTAAAAGTTTCTCATGTACAAGACGGCAATCTACTTCTATGTTCTTGTTTTGGTCATGCTAGTCTCCTAGATGATGGTTTTTTTTTTCTCAAATCACTCCCCTGTTGATAATTGAGGAACCACTGAAATGGACAAATGTAGGATGGTATGCAAGTGAAGAGTGTTTTGGTTTAGGGAACTGAATCAGGCAGATCACGTTTTTATAATCCCAGTACATTCTTAGTGTAAAAACAAAGAAACCATGCTTGCAATGGTGAAAGTCAGAATTTGGTGATTGTTGGTTTAAAATTTGAAGAAATTCTCATACAATGTAGTTCACTCAATTAAATAATTGATTTTTTTATTTTTTGGGTAAGGCCAATTTTTTTTTCTAGTATCAATTTATCATACAAACAGTCACCTTGATTACATCTTGCAGAGAAATCCATTTGATTCGGACAGAGAGAAATAAACTCTTATATAAAAAAATCCATTTATATTTCTTTTTATATCAAAATCTTATAAAAATGAAAATTACAAATACAACTAAGAAACAACTTTACAACATCATGTCTCTTATTTTTTGTACATTTGTAATGATTAGTACAAACACTTCCTGGATTACAAGTTCCCTTATTATTTCTTTTCTTCATAGCATGTCATAGCCATCCAACTATATTCTTCCAGATCTTGCACTTGGAAGGGAACCACAATCAGTTGGATTAAACGAATGGACTGTTGGCAGTTTTTACCCCTTATTCTTCAATCATTTAATCTACAATTTTATGGAGCCATATTCAGCCAAGTCAAAGAACAAGGCTATATCTGGCTTGATCCCTATATGTTCCTCAAGGCAACTCTCTTTAGAAATTAAAAAGCACTCGTTTTATATGATATTTCCTTCTACATCTGCAATTTCCTCTTTTACAATGAGGTTTAGAGACTGAGCAAAAGAGAGGAGAAGATGATGAGAAGATTGTAATATGAGGGAGAAGACATATTTAAAGAAGATTTTTTCAAAAGAAACCTTCCTTTGCCTACCTGTTGGTATTTAGAAAAATGGTTCTTTTATCTTTTCTTTTCTTTTTTTTTGATCAATAACCGGAATTCATTAGATTAAAAGAATTTAGTTACAGCGCTCCAAAGAGAGAGAAACAGGCTTAACTCTCTCCAGGAAGATAACAAAATAGATGTATGTTTTTTCTTTCTTCATTTTTCTTTCTATTTCTTCCTCGTTTCTTCTCTATAACCTTTTTTTCTTTCTTTCATCACTCTAGAGATTGAACTCCTTAGACTCAAAGAAGTGTTGTTTGGATATGGGAAAGGGGGGCTTTAGCCTCCCAGTAAAGAGATGAAATAGGGGTTAAGGTGGTTATGTAACCACCCCTCTTTTCAAGTGAATGACACCTAGCCTCACATTTAATGAGTAGAAGATTTAGTTATGGACACTCTTTTAGTGGTATAAATGTGCTTCATTTAGCCCATTAGCATTATTTTATAGATATGGTCCAACTCACTTAATTTGGATGGGCTTTAGGTATTGGGTTCCATGGGATTCTTTTTCTCTAAGAAAAGATAAGGAAAAAAAAAGTTAAGATGCGTCTGGGTATATCTTCTTATAAATTTTGCTTTCAATAGGGATGTTTTCACCTTTTAAAACTTGTTTATGTATTTTCTGCTTGATGCTAAGGTTATAGGCTTTTAACTAATTTTTAGTTAGCTAAGATGCATCTGGGTATATTTCTTAAAAATTTTACTTTACCTAAGTATGGAAGGAAAGAAACAGCCAAATCTTTGATAACAATTGTTCTGGTGTAGCTTCAGTTAGAAACAAGGTTATAAACTTTTTGTGTTCCTGGTTAAGTGTATAAGGGCTTTCAAGGGTGTCCAGCTTTTCTCTTCTTTGCAAGCAGGACCTTTTTTTCATTGAATCTTTTTGTATATTCCCAATGTACAGGCTCTCATTGTACATGGAATGATATTATTGGCATTCACTCATATTTTCATACATTACAATACTTTACCTGTTCCAAAAAAAAAAAAAAATCGTATCACTCCATCTAATTTTATGAATACACATAGCATCCCTCATTTTTTACCAACCAATATAATAGAAGGATCAACCATGCACCATAATGAACCAAACCATTTTACTCAAGTTCTCATGTTTTTACTCTTTGGCAATTATTTGTATAACACACATTGTTATAAAATACTTATCAAAAAAATACACATTGTTATAAAATGGTGAATCCATGCAATGAATTGGATTGTATCGTTTGCATTTATTTTTCATTTTTACACCCCCCCCCCTCCCCCTTTATATGAACATAAACCCCAATTGACCTTTTAAGTACATATCTGATCTAGTAGTCAAAAGAGTACATTGGCTTAACAGTTCCAAATTCCATGTCAGTGATGCAACATTGCTTCAGTAAGCTAATTCTGTTAACATGAAAGTGAGTTTCCATAAAAGATTCATGAACTATTTTGTTATTAACTGCATTTTTATGTGGACGTTCATGATGCAGTAAAGAACAATTGGAAATGAAGTTGATGTATGCAATAAATGCTGAAGCTGGTTTTGATTTGAGCTGATAAGATCTAGTAACGTGTTCAATGCTACCACATAGTTATAGAGGCCACCACCTTAAAGTTTTAGATGAATATTTGTTCTGCTCAAAGTTGTTAGACGGTGAAAAGTTCTTTGGAATCAGGTAAGGAGGCCTAACCAACAGAACGAAATATGAAAAGAGAAGCCTGTACATAATCTTTTTTTTTTTTAATTTGAAGCCACAATGTATTATTGAGCGATGCGCTAAATTAGTGTACTTTATGTATACATGTAAAGTCTGAAAAAATGTCTCAGCCGTGGAAGGTTAATTCGTCTATAAACGAGTTTGGTAACCTTGGCGTACCAAGTACCAACAAGGCAACAAAGAATGGCTATCAATTACAAGTATCCATGGTTGATCTCTCATTTATTAATATGACTTTTCTGTAAATAATGGCTTGAGGTTGGAGACATCACTTTCCATGAATTGGTTTACTTGTTCCAAATATCTTTTCAACGACATGAAAACTTTGACTAATGACAAAGATAGACATTTCCCCACGCCTCATGTTGTGTGTGTGTGTGAGGCGTGGTCGTCAAAATGTTCTGTTTCAGACACTACCATTGGATGCGTCTAGTTCATGAATACACACTCAAGCTCCAAATAAATGTACATTTACCATGGATTTTGATTCGCATCGTCATGGTCACATGGATTAAATCGGCCATAAAGATTGCAGCATTTAGCATGCGTCTGGCTCCAGATCGAAAGACTCCTACTTTTCCAATGCATCTTAAGCAATCAAATGGAAAGTCATTCCATAAGGATAAGGTAATTCATCTGGATTTGTCCTCAAATACCATTATGGTGGCCTGAAAGATTCACTCCCCGATAGTTTGTACGAGTCCGATAGTTTGTGTTTTATTTATTTTTTTTTCAAAACCAGTACAGAGGGGTCAGTTTAAGTCCTGATTACCTTCTGAACCATGGCCTGACCCGAAACACCCCCTGTAGGGGTGTATCAGGAAGGCCCCAATATGATATGATAAGCTGATACGGGCCAATATGTAACGATATTTTGAACATTGCTCCTCACTGATCAAAAGCAAACTTGAACAAAAGACCTTATTTATAAAAAATTAAATCTCTTTTTTACTTTTTCTAAACAATTTTTTGTAAAATATACAAACAAATGTGAAGCGGTTTCAATGAAACCAATCAGAGGATCTCTTCAGCTATTATCTGTAATGTGGTTTTAATCCCCAGTTTTTTGGGGTGTATTAGTCAATTTATTTTTTCGTTAAGGATAACAGTTTATAAATCTGAGGGTGGAGGTTTAAGTCCAATTTGAAAAATGAAGGGATGTTTCAGTATTTGAATGAAGTATTAGGAGAGGTTTTAATCTTTTACCCTTAATAATAACTAAGGTGCCGTTTGATAAATCTGAAATCCGAAAAGTTAAAAAGATATTAAAAGTGACTGAAATCTGAAAAAGGCTACGACGCTTTTCTACTTTTTAGAGGCTTTGAATACTTAAGCTTGTTTGTGCTGGACCAAACTGTTAACATAATGCCCTGATTTTATTATTTTACTCCTAAAATAATTTATTTGGTAAATTTGAGTTCAATTTGTATTATTTCATATAAAATAATTTATCAAATTCAAAATAATATTGAAATCATACAAAAAAAATAATGATTATTAATTAATAATTAATTATATTGAACTAACACGAATAAAAAATAATTAAATACACAATATTTTATAATTATTACAAAAAATATTTAATAATTAATAAATAACGTAATTAAATTAATAAAAAATAATTACTCACTATTAAAAATAATAAAATGATTAAAATTTAATAAAAGTTAAATAATCAATATAAATTAATGGTTACGATATTGGTGAGGGACCAAGAACGGAGAGCATCGGAAGAAGCTAAACTGTTCTTCCACTTGACCAGAGCTTGGGCTTCGGTTGTTGATGCAGAGAGCTTCAATGGGAGGGAGAGGAGGAACAGAAGAAGCAGAGGAAGGAAAAGATGAGGCCTCTGAGTCTGCCACCTGTCTGGTGTCTGCACATCGAGTACGTAGACAACCGTTTTGCCGATACCTGTTCCCTGAATTACTTACTTCGACATGGCTAGAGACTGGATGGGTGGAGGAAGGAATGAATATTTATCAAGTATCTACTATGTTGGGTCAAGGAATGTTTTCAAATATTGAAAGGTTGAAACCCCAACGAACGGTTGCAGAACAAAGTCTAACTGATCCATGCCATTCAACGGTATGAGTCGGATTCCTTGAGACCAAACTATTGACTTTAAAGAGGAAAAAACCCCAACAGTCTTACACACACCAAGAACCTTTAAGTCCCATGGAAGAGTCGTCAGCGGCAAGTTCAGAGCAGTTATAAGATCATAGTACTTGATCACATCAGTGATAACAGAAGTGTTCAGAAATTTTCAGTAATAACATCCAAACCTAGGGCAATTAAAACAAGAATGTGGATGCACGTCAAAACGGCACTCTACTTCCTCCAAACCCAGCTTCATTTCCTTCGTCACCAACCTGCAGAGAGGGTTCTTCAGTTCGAAGAGAGGGTCAGAAGAGAAGAAACAGCGGTAGAGTTTGTTCATGTGCAGAGAGGGTTTGAAGAGAAGAAACGGCGGTGGAGCTTGTTCAGGTGCAAAAAGGGTTCAAAGATATTGAAAACGGCAGTGAACTTCTTCAGTACAAAGAGATGGTTGAATGACCTAATTTTTGGATTTTATAGGAAGAATAAAACATTGTCATTTTAAAATTTTTATGAGGACAGTATTATCTTTTACTAATGTTTAAATACCATCTGAGTGCGTTAAGCACCCGCCCCAGCACTTATGAATTAAGATCTGAAAATGTATTTCAGATTTAGTATTAAGAGAAAAATCCAAACGTCTGTGGCGTCTAAAAAGCAACTGATTCAAACCTCAAACATCTTAGTAGTGCAATCAAATGCCACCTAAATCTCTCAAAAGGTTTTCTACATTAAGAGAGGATGATGAGCACAATTAACTAGCTTGTCAGCAGCTTTGTTAGCTTCTCTAAAGACACGATACTCCACTTCTCCATCTATCTTTGTGAGCAATTGCCTCCATGGAGCTCCATGGTTGTCTTCAATGATTGTCTTCAATCTCCATGGAGCTCCATTCTTTGTTAGCTTTCACTATATTGCATATAGTATTATCAATAATGGGCCAAAAAATTTTTTAAAAAATAATACATTAAGCTCATCCGAACCCGGAGCTTTTAAAATCCTTCATTGAGGGGAGAGTCAAATAAATTTCATCATCTATGACTCCATCATCACGATATAGGATGGAGTCTACTGCTTTTGGAGAGCGCATTCTAAATTAGTCAAGGCAATGCTTGAGGGCTCATCAACTATTCTCCATTGGACATCAAATATTCTCTTTCTTTTTAAATATATTACCAAATTTATTTTTGTTCCAATTTTCAACTCGTGAACAAAAAGAAGATTGTGTTTTCTGATAAACCGGATAGCTCTAGAACCATTTAATTCCATGTTCCAAGCCTTAAGAATCATGTAATTTAAGTTGGGATCATAGCACCACATAGCCTCAAAGCGGAATGGCTTGGGCCCACATATCATATTGTTCTCAGTCTGGAGAAGCGGAGTATGGTCTGAAGCTAGGAAGGGGAGATTAAAGAGGATAGCATTGGGAAAATCTCTTCTCCATAACTCATTGGAGAAGACTCGGTCAATTCTTTCTCTGGTTATCTTATTTTTCCAAGTGAATTGCATCCCCTTCATCTCCATCTCAATTAAATAAGAAATTTACAATGGTCAATTAATTCATTGAAATCTCTAGGCTGATTAATAGTCACCAAGGTTTAAAGTATCGGAAACGCCAAGAGTATTGGAAAGGCAATGAGGTGGAGATATGCCTTGGATACATGTGTATCGGAGAAAAACTAAGATACGCATAAATACGCTTGTAAACACTTTAAATACTTTAATAAATCATAAAAATACATCAACAACACTAAATATAAGACCGCAATGAGGTGTATATACATTAAATTAATATATTTTAATGGTTTTATGAGTAATTAATTATAATTTCATTAAAAATCCTATGCTTAACTATAATTTATAAATTATAATTCTTAAGTTTTAATGTTTTATGGGATGAAAAAATAAACCCAACTCTCCTATCCAACCATAAAGCATGCATTGGCACAACTTCTAAGTGAAAATATAATTAATAATTATTTATTATTTATTTCCAAAAATTTTAAAATAAATAAACAATATATAATATATTCAAAATTAGTTATTAAAGAAGAAATTTCAATTGCTTTGTGGATATGATAGATCATCCATAGAATTTGATGATGCGCGATCTGGTGCTCCCTACTGGTGGATAGCTTGAGCGTCAGGCTTAGTAAGTCGCCTGGTCGAGCTATAAGAAAAATAACAGAGTGTCTAGGTTACTTTACCCGAGGTGGGCACTATGATGCTTATGTTAATGAACTGGAGATAAGATTGCTAGAATGCAAGAAAGTTGAAGTGCTTGAGAGCTGAATTGTTCGTACATTCTAAGGTTGGAGGCGAGGCACTTATATAGGCAGGCTACCGTAAGCCTCACGAAACACATCTGGGATCTCCGACCCATCTAATTCAAAGGTGGTTTCACGCCTGAAGATGGATTCTGTGTAAATAGATAAGGCTTATCCAACCGCACCCGAAGCGGGTGGAGTGATACTCAGCTCTTCCAATGTGGCATCGTGATCCTGAGGAAGTCAGAGACGACAACCTGCTTAAGGAGGAGGTCACCCAATAGGTCGCTAGCTGAACTCTAGTCAGGTCGGCAAAAGTGGGTCGCCTCTCATGCCGACCTAATGTCTTGTCAAGGCCAAGGTAGTCTAGTGGAAGCTAGTCGCCTCATACACCGACTTGAGGTCCCACCTAAATGTTTGTAGTTCGGTCTACTGGGGTGGCCCCGAGGTCACTGATGTAGTTGTGAAGTGTCCGAAATGATCTGCTTACATGGTGTCGAGGTATCTCTTGGTTGTTCTGCAATGCCATGCGTTATGATGTCATTGGAGGACCAAATTACACCTCATCAGAATTATTATATATTCAATTGTGATCAAATGATAAAATATAATTATTTATTTATTTATTTTTTAATTCTAAAAATATAAAAATAAAAAATAATTATTAAAGAAGAAATTTCAATTGGCATGTGGATATGATAGGTCATCCATAGAATTATAATTTATTCTATTGTTGTGATCAAATGATAAAATATAATTAATTATTATTTATTTTTTAATTTTAAAAATATAAAAAAGAAAAAAAAACATTAAAGAAGAAATTTCAATTGCTCTACTGATAACACAAAAATTTGTGATTTTGAATGAAAGAAATGTAGACCAACA